TGAAGAAGGCAATGGGTCGACCTTCTTGACTCAACACTGCACCAATTCCAACATTAGAAGCATCACAATCTACTTCAAACATCAGGTCAAAGTTGGGAAGTGCAAGTACAAAGGTTTCAGTGAGCTTCTTCTTTAATTCTTCAAAACTCTATTGGGCTTTGCTACTCCATGAAAATTTGTCACCCTTAAGGCTGTCAATGATTGGGGCAACAATAGAACTAAAATTCTTGATGAATCTCCGGTAAAAAGATGCTAGGCCATGGAAGCTTCGAACATCATGCATCGATGTTGGTGTGGGCCAGTTGACAATAGCATCAATCTTACTGGGGTCCATCTTGATACCTTGAGCAGTGATGATGTATCCAAGAAATGTCACACTTGTAGTGAGGAATGAACATTTCTTGAGATTAGCATAAAGTTTCTACTCTCTAAGGACTTCAAAAACTTGCCGAAGATGGTCTAGGTGCTCCTGTTCATTCTTGCTATATACCAGGATATCATCAAAGTAAACCACAACAAATTTCCCAATGAAGGGTCGAAATACCTGGTTCATAAGGCGCATGAAAGTGCTGGGAGCATTTGACAATCCGAATGGCATAACCGTCCACTCGTACAAACCATCTCTAGTTTTGAATGCTGTCTTCCATTCATCACCGGGACGCATTCGAATCTGGTGATATCCACTTCTCAAATCAATCTTTGAGAAGACAGTAGCTCTATGCAATTGATCAAGCATATCATCAAGACGTGGAATTGGGAAGCGGTACTTGATAGTGATTTTGTTGACGGCTCGACTATCTACACACATTCTCCAAGTTCCGTCTTTTTTTGGGACAAGTAGCACAGGCACGACACATGGGCTAACACTTTCCTTGACAAGTCCTTTCTCCATCAGTTCTTTGACTTGTCGTTGAAGTTCTTCATACTCTTGAGGATTCATCCGATAAGCAGGCTTGTTTGGAATGACAGATCCTGGGATGAAATCAATGGCATGCTGAATGTCTCTCATTGGTGGTAATCCAGGAGGGATCTCGTCAGGAACAACATCAGAAAATTCTTCAAGGAAAGATCGAATTTCTTCTGGAAAAGGGCAGGTGGCATCATTTACTTTGGATAATAGTAGGAGACATGCTATCCCCGACTCTTGGTGCAACCTCTGAAAGGTTGATCTGGAGATTAAAGCCTTGTCCTCATCTTTCTTTTCAAGTGTTTCTTCAGGCTTCAAAGGAGTGAGCTTGACCTTCACACCATCTCTCACAAACGAGTAGGTGTTGGCATGGCCGTCATGGATAGCCTTTCGGTCAAATTGCCAAGGGCGACCAAGTAACAAGTGACAAGCATCCATAGGAATTACATCACACCATACTTCATCTTGGTACCTATTACCAATAGAAAAAGAGACAAGGCAATGTTTGGTTACTTTTACCTCGTTTCCCTTTCGTAGCCATTGTAACTTGTATGGATGGGGATGATCTTTGACAGGCAGACCTAGCTTCTCAACCATGTAATTTGACACAACATTCTCACAACTTCCACTGTCAATGATGACATTGCAGACTTTCCCTCGAGAAGTGCATCTGGTGTGAAAGATGTTATGTCGAAGCCAATCTTCATCCTTGGTTATGGTAGCATGTAGACTACGACGCACAACCAAAGATTCTCCATGGTCAACTGGGGTGAGTTCTTCCTCAAGCTGGGATGACTCAGTTTCATCATTTTGCTCCTTTTCTGCTTCATCTTCTGAGGCTTCATGAATTTTTCCTCCAATAATGGTGACAACTCTCCTATTTGGACAGTCGGAGGCTATGTGGCCAAATCCTTAACACTTGAAACACTTTCGAGTGTTAGATTGAGCTGGACGGCTCGAGCTGACTTCCTTCTCAGTCTTGGCAGGGGTCTTAGCAGCAGTTTTTGAGGCTTGAGTCCCTCTGCTAGCTCCAAAATCTCGCGGTTTTGAAGCACTAGTGATATTCTTCTTTGAGATTTGCTTTTCAACCCTCAATGCTAGCCGAATGACATCATCCAAAGTCTAATATTGTTGAAGTTGAACAACTTTGGAAATGTCATAGTCCAACCCTCCAAGATAACGAGCTATGGTTTGCTCGTTCTTTTCCCGAACATCACACTTCATCATTAATTATTCGAACTCCATAGTATATTCTTCCACAGTCAAAGATTTTTGCTGCAAGTTATGAAATTTAACAAAATTATCTTGGTAGTAACGGTCAGGTAAGAACTTACGAGTGAGTTCCCGACGCATTTTCTCCCAAGTTCTAATTTTGTTGCGGCCTTCTCTTTCTCGACTGCGTTTGAGATTCTCCCACCAAATGGATGCATGCTTCTTTAATTTGATGGCGACAATCTTCACACGCTTGTCGTCAGGAATATCCTTGAGTTCAAACACATGCTCCACAGTGTGCAACCAGTCGATAAATTCATCTGGTTGAAGGCGACCTTCAAAATCTGGAATATCAATTTTGATGCCAAGGTCAGTGGATTTGGGAGCAGCATTTTGTTTGGGACGTCGTCGACAACGAACGTTTTCTGTTGATGATGAGCTTTCATTATCCCTTAGGTGATGGAAAGGATTCTCGTCGTCAGTATCTTCTTCTGACTCATATGGTTCGCCTTGCGGGTGTTGAGCTTGTTGTCTTTCAAAAGCTTCGAGTCTTTCTTGAAGCCTTTGAATTTGTTGACGTAGTTCTTCCATTTCTATGTCCCGAACAGCTCGTTGACGAGGAGGATTTTGTCTTCTAGGAGGCATGATGAGTTTAGGTTGGTAAGGGGCTTTTTGGAAAGTTAGTATTTGAAAGTGGGGTAATTTGAAAATTTATAAAGTTATGGGATTAATCTGTAAGGTCAAAATAAGTTGAGGGACTTGATGACGTGGCAAAAGAGTGCGGCCGCGGTGATGACGTGTCGTTGACGTGGTTGATGACGTGTCAAGTGACGTGGCAAATGGATGATGTGGCAGTGACTGGATGATGACGTGTCGAATGACGTGGCTGATGACGTGGTGAATGACGTGGCACAGATGATGTGGCAAATGGATGATGTGACAAATGGATGATGACGTGTCGATGACGTGGTGAATGACTTGGCACAGATGGGAGGTTGAAGATGACTTGCAGTGGTGCGAGTGGCCGGCGCGTGAGACAACAGCGGTGGCACATGTGGGTGCGTGAATCCTTGTTCGTCGACCGGGTTTTCACTAGAATGCTCAGAATAACGTGCAGACTTCAAATATGTTGGCTCTGATACCAAATGGCGTAGGAGTCGATACCGAAACACCGATTTTGGTGAGATTTAAAATCCCACTACGATGAATTCGATTCCCAGGATCACCACTTAGGTTGGCAAGACTTAAGATACAGAGATAAATTGAGAGAATCCACTCTCAAGAAACTCACTCAAAACATAGGAGAATTGAAATTTCATTAACTGATAAAACTTATGCATATAATGGTGAGAGCATGGCTATTTATAGGCCAAATCTACTGAAAGGCAATAAATGAAAAGTAAAATGCAGTTGGGAGTTAGCAGTTGGAATTAATGGCTATGTTGACAAAGTTGCCAACCTATTGTGGTGTTGCAGAGTAGCTTCTGCATGCTTGTAGGTACTTTCTCCCGGTGCATTTTGTAACTTGAAGTGAAAGAGAAAGAATTGACACTTCACAGTTCAAGTACTGGGTACGGTGCTTGTGAGGCTAGGCACAATTAACCCTGGTTCATGGAAAGCAAGATTCCCAATTCTCATGTTTTTTTATCTTTTCAGCTATCAGAAAATGAATCATTACTGAGAAATTAAAGTAACCAGTTGAGGTTCTGGATACAAATTCCGCTCTTGGTATGAATATGTAACAATTAATCATTGCAAATAAGAAATAGAGTTCATTACCAACATATGCTTGCTTGCTCGCTCGCTCTAGACCTGGTGAAGCGTATAACTGGCAAAAGTATTGTTGTAGTCCAGTCGTCAACTTACTTAAGTTTGGTATCAATTCCTCCTGAAAAAATTAAGTTGGGTTGAAGCATTAGTTTTAGCGTCCAATATTTAGAGGCAGAAATTAATTAAAGAGCTAGATGGACAATCTGCTGTCCCATGATACCAGCTAGCTAGCTAGTA